AATCCTTACTTTGTTTTACGTACTAGATACAGTTTTGTTCTTCTGTCTTTACTGCCCTGGTAACAAAACTCCTGATTATATCAAAGGATTAATTAGAAATGTAATATCTATATGTATCAATTCTTCAAATTAAACAGTTTCTCTGTCTCTTTCTATTGTTTTCCTCTCTCTTGATTTCATATCCTTCTCATTAAAATTGTTAAAATTTGAATATTTTAACTATCCTCCTTTCGTGAAACTCATTAATGACACGCATGATAATGAAATCCATAAAAAGCTGAATCGGAATACGGAAGTACCGTTTAATCTCTCCCGATTTTCTCCCCTATTTCTTAATCCTCTTTCATTCCCACTGGCTTTCCCGCTCTGTTTGGGGCTTTGTGATTGTTTCGATAAAATACGACTCGAGAATTACGTTGTTCGACCTCGAATAATTGTTACGAGGTTGCAGACGATTCGGTCCGCACTATAGATCTCACGATAACTTTCTCCATATAAATGTCGGTCCGGGGCTTCCGTCTGTCGAAAGCAGAAACAAGGGGAAAACAAGTTATAAATGGCCGGGCATACTGGAACTTTTACGGACGACCGAACGCCTTTGATAAATTAGCCTCATATCGTGTGCGTTTTAACGATCATATTTGTCGCCCACGTACGTCCGCTATTTCTAATTACACTTAGCACCATGTCGTGCAATATCATAATGAATGACCCGAAAAGGCTCGATCGAGGTGAAACCGACCACCCACGTACGAACTCGATGTATTACATTTATGTAGATCCGACGGTTGATCGCACAAGTTCGGAAATTGTCACTTTAAGAAATTAAGGGAACACAAGTTGCGAATTCATTTTTATTATCATCTGCGACATCTAAGAGGATAACGTGTATATATGCGATATTTATCGCTCGAGATACATATCTGAATTAATTTCATCGAAACTTCCGGTGGAAAATCTTTTCGAATTGAAATACAATATATAGTGTGACATAGAGTTGACTCAACGACGAAAAGTAGATAAATTTCCACGAATAGAAAAAAAAAAAATCTCAGCAAAAGACAAATTCTTAATTGAAGCTCAAAATTCATTTGCTCGCGCGATGCATCGTCGATATTATTATTCTCCTGCGAGAAATTATTCACTACCAATATTACACGGCTATTATTGGCGAAAATTAATTTGAACGTCTAAGGCCCCTATTAATAGTCCTTATTTGAAACTTGTCCTACGTAAGATACTCCGATTTTTATTCAATAGTTAGATCCAAGATTTTCAATTAAATTATGACACATGTGACATTTATATCTGTAATTGCGTTTCAATTGAAAATTTTTCATCAAATTCTGAATTCAAATTAAAGTGTCTCACTTAAGGAGACTCAGATTGCCTAAAAATCGTGCTTGTTCTTTCACAATTTTTTATGACAAACTGAATGAATATGCGAAAGTGTTATTTTGACGTGTATTTATACAACATATAAAGAGAAAAAATGTATAATTTTGATGATCAAATACTCAATTAAAATATATTTCGTTTTTCTTTTCAAGGTCGTCATCTTGCAGTAATATCTTGACTCTCGGTAGTTCAATTAAGCTGAATTTTAGGTAGAAAATTTCCGTAAGTTTGTCGTTATCGTGTAAACCACTATAATAGAATTTGAGTAAAAGTTAATAAAATTGTAAATATCTTAATGGAATATTATTAAATTTTCAGTTCCTTTATATAGTAAAAAAATTAATATTTCAAAATTAAATATTTTCACGAGTTTGTCAGTTCACACGATAACGACAAGCTTACGAAAGTTTTCTACTTAAAATTCAGCTTAATTGAATTGAGAATCAAGATATTACTGCAAAATGACGCGACCTTGAAAAGAAAAACGAAATATATATTAACTGCATATATACCATACTCATATTGAGTATTTGATCATCAAAATGATATTAAAATTATCTTCTCTTTATATGTTGTATAAATACACGTCAAAATAACACTTTCGCATATTCATTCAGTTTGTCATGAAAAATTGTGAAAGAACAAGCACGATTTTCAGGCAATCTGACCCTCCAGTCTCCTTAAGACGCGAATTTGAAGTAATAATTAATAACACAGGTTTTAGAGCCTAATTGTTTACTTTCTAAGTGGAACTCAGACTTCTGCTTGGACGAACGTGCTGTCAGTGCATTTTCACATGGAACCATGTGTGTCGGATCGATTAAATAAAGCCAAACGGAATCAGTTTGCCGATCAAACTATCGTTACGTATCACTGGTTTCGCACAATTCTTCGTATATCGACGGTAAGAAAGATCGATGCCCGACTGGTTGTGAGAACCAACGTTGTGAGAAGTTTTCTCGTCGTTTTCTTTAACTACCACCTAAGAGTAGGCGGTTGCGCGAGATATCGCCGACACGTGTTGCGTCTCCTGTATGATCAACGAACTCGAAGAAAGGTCGATCGCCTTCTCGGCCTTTTGTCGTTCTGCGCTGAAATTAGGGTGCTATCCGGGGTATTTCGCCGAATAGGAGAGATGTGTACGGCTTGGTCAAATGTAATCGTAAAAAAAGAAACAAAAAAAGAGAGAGGAAGAGAGAGAAAGAGATAGAAAGTGAAGGGACAAAATATTACGGTGAATCGTGTGAATCTTCGTGGTCTTACTGAATAAAAGTTACGCTGGTTCGTGCCGTATCATCTGTTTGTTTGTTCGTTCTCGTAGGGGTGAGCGAACGCGACGGGAAACACACGCGGATGGCTTTTGCTGTATCATTGAGCTATGTCAATAAAATAAGCCGAACGTTTCCGCTTTTTTTCATCGAAGGGAACATGTCGAGAAGATGAGTGACGAGTATTATGGTATTTGCTTCTATCTGAAATTGAAATTTCCTTCCTCCCTTCATATACACTTCACATACATACACACACACACACACATACACACACACACATCTCCTCTAGGTGTACGCGCGTCCCGCTTTTGTCGTATTACTAAGTATCTTTTATCGAGTGTTCTTTCTCTTTCACTCTGTCCTTTACGGCTAAATCGAAGACGGTTTTTTTTTGTTGCTTTTTCATAAAAAATGTCCAATGGACGCTAACGACTTTTGATATTAGATATTGAAAATATCCTTCTGCAAATGAGCTTCTTAAATAGAGACCTTATCATTTTAAAAGGAGATTCTGATTTGAATAGCCGAAAAATAGAAGGTTTTTACGAATTTTTTTCAAAGAAATTAATAAAGATATTAATATGGAATTTTGTCCATACTATTTATCATTGTTTTAGATATGATAAAATTATGTATTAATTATATTTTAATATTTATTTGCGTACTAAAAAAACAATTTCGTCTAGGTTTTCTGTGCAATATCGCCGGATGCTTCCAACTGATGGACAACATTACAACTCGTGTAATAATCTGAAGCGAATGGGACAATAGAATTTAAAAACTATATTAAATTTACTGGAGAATGAACGTAAATCCTGAAAACTTTCAAAAGTAGTATTATCTCGTAAGTTACTAAATAAACGAGAAAGTGAGAGGAAAAATGACTTGTAACTTTGAAGTGCCGTCATTTCGCTAAATTTTTATTTTCAAATATATATAACAAAGATTCGTCCTCCAGCAAATTCAATAGTTTTTAAATTTTTCTGCCCAATTTGTGTTAGATTATTACATGAGTTGTTCATCAGTTCATTGTTATTACATGAGTTGTTCATCAGAGATGTTCGGCGACCACATTTAGCTTAAAAAACTCGGACGATAAAGTTTCAATCCTATATAGCTATCATTATTTATTTATTTAAAAAAAATTCATAAAGACTTTCTATTTTTCGACTATTCAAACCGGGAATCTACCTGTGAAGTGATACCGAAATCATGTTTTTCGATTAATTTTGGGCAAATTTTAGCAACATCATCGTGCATACTTCGTCTTCTTACGATCTGTCGAATCCGCTCAAAATACGTGTGAAGCCTTGCATCGGCGGTAAGTTTAAAAGCTGTTTGCTTTAGCGGAAATAAGTGAATGGCTACGCGAAAGCCTTCTTAACCAAAATAGATGCGATATTTACTCGATAAACGTATACGCTTTTATTAGCTACTCCTTGAAACTTTTATTTCTTCGCAGGAGAAGAAAGATGTGTTGTATCGATGTACTGTTTAATCTGTTGATGTTGTGAAGGTCATACGAACCTTGCAAATTGCGACTCGTTCGCAAAATTGTGCACAAACTTTAATAAGATTTCTATCGTATCAAAGCAAACGTGTTCTTTTTTTTCGATTATACTGAACACATAATAGAAAATCATTAATTCCTTCTTCTTATTTATGTTTTGTTAGCGTTATACATGTTTACTGTGTTATGTTTTCCAAATATCTATTTCGAACTTTTATATCGATCTGGTCGCTATAGGGAGACAAATTTTAATTTTCTTTATATTCTCCAAATTGACACAATATTCAAGTACCATTTTTAGACACGAACGGATACTTTGTTATTCTCACTGCTGAAATTTTTGCTACACTTGTTGGTGAGCGACTCCTGAAACTCTATGAAAAAGCTGACAATACTATTTTTATAACGAACATGACCGGGTGGCTGGTGAATAAATCGAACACACGACGGATATGCAACGAGAGAGAAACTGCGCGATCGCGCGTCGGTTCCGAAAGTGATCCAACATCAGTCGGAAAATACAAGTTTTAACTTCCCCGCGTTAAATCGCGCGTGTAATGCGAACGCCGTTCGCCATCGATTAACACTTACAGCTTCATCTACAATATGCTCTTTGCTTCTTGTTTCTTGTTCTCTATCTTTTTCTAGCTTGAGACGCAAGATTTACGCCACAGAAAGAGGTAAAAGAGAAAGAAACGGGAAGCAAAGGGCTCATTGTGGATCCGGGATAATTAGGACTCAACGAAAAACCGAGTGTTCGTCTTGGAGCACGAGTATATTTGTAATAATTGCGACGCCTGCGTGCGTACACTGACACGTACCTGCGTTAATTACGTCGCCCGCGGTTTCTCCGGTGTAATTTCGCTGTATCTTCCGGCTGTCGCTGGCGATTATTCACGTAGCCGCTCTGTCGCACGATCTTGTGACTTTCTATCCGATTATTAAAATACGATGCGACATGGAGGGGGCGAACGTCGGTAGCGGACTAAAGGATTTTCGCGTGCTATACGCGGCCGGAGGAGTCCTTTTGAAATTTTCCACGCGCAGACTCACGGCGCATCGGGCGCAGAATGCGGATGCCGCGCGTAAAGGAGCACTTTGATGTATGAAGTAAAAAAAGAATCGATCCGCGCAATATCGATAGGCGTCAGACGACGCGGAAGATTAAAATACATCCTACGCGCGGCTGTCGCCTCGAGGATACCTGCACTTCCCAATCGAGAAATATTGATTGTGTCGTTGTGCCCCGAACTCACGATTATATCACGCCGTGTTATTTTTTTTTAACGGCGAATCTTCTTCGATCAACTTGCACGGTGAATCTTGTGAAAAGAAAAGAAAAGAATTCGTTGTGACACAAATGAAATACTAAAACAGAGATAATTGAATCGTCTCTTTATACAGTTGTACGTCAAACTTTTCCAAGTACTTTTCGTGACTCTGGAAAGAGAATTGGTGAGAATTTGGAGATAACGCAGATTTTGGTATATTCATATATTGAGAAAAAAATACTCGAAAATTTATTTGTGGAACAAAAATTTATTTCATAGAAATAAACTCTAAGGGAGACCGGGGCTAGTTAACTACCTGGGTTAGTTGACAAAATCGATTCTACTGTTTTTTAATAAGTTTCAGAATCAAGCAAGTAATTTCTCTCAAAGCCATCTTTGATATGTTTAAAAATTATGCTTACTTAATTTTGTTAGAGAATAGCAGAAATAATCAGTTTTGTTGACTTATCCCGGTAGCAAACTAGCCTCGGTCTCCCCTACTTTACAGAAATAAACTTTATATCCCATATATAAATTTTAAAGTATTTTTCTCTTTATATTTGTTTGATTCGAGCAACATAATTTTATATTAAATATCATATATATTTTTATTTGATTATACTACGTTGTTTGAAAAAAACACTATTATTGAAGAAAGATTTTCAGTAAAAAATAATATATTATTTGATTATATTTTAAATTTTGTTTCGTTCGATCAAATTGTGTTATTTGATTGAAAGCAGTTATTTTTTTAAAAGTTTCATTTTTCAATCTAATTTTGTTAATATCCATTATATATCGACTGTTGTCGCATTGTTCTCAATGATTAGTAAGTATAACTAAGTAAGTATAATTAGTAAATATTAGTGAGAAAAGCTTTTTAGATAAGAGAATACATTATAAGCATAATACTATAAGTATATAATATAAGTACATATCGTTAGAGTTAGTTAGAGTTACTAATTCCTGTTTAATCAAGAAACCCAAACCGTGGTCAGTAAAAAGAATGGATGGACGCTTTACGGGATGATGCAGTATTTTGAATGAAAAATTATGCGGGAAAAAGGCCGCATACGGTGAAGTAATAAAACAACAGATCGTTAGTCATGCGGGAAAAAAATATCAAGTTTCTTAAGATTATTTAAATTGTAGAATTATAGAGTTCTAGAATTTTTTTTAGGAAAGTAAGGAAATTAAGTTAAACAATTTTCTTTTTTAAACCAAATAATTCTTTTTTTTAATACCAAACAATAAATTACTTGAATCGAACAATAAAATTATTTGAAAAGCCAATTGATCTTACTTATTGATTAGAATCTATGTTTTCTTGGACCATTTCAATGATTAAATTTATTTGAATGCAATAAAATGTATTAAATCCAAAGAAATATTTTCCTCTTGTGTTGCGGAGATTTTTTTTCTGTGTTGCAGAAATAATTATTTCAATTTTAAACTTACATATATATCTTCCTTCTTTATGTTATTTTGTCGAATTAATTCAGAGTTATTTCGAAAGTATTATTCTTTTTTGTGTGCGAATCAATACTGCTTTTCCGGCATCTGATCGCAGACACGTTTTGTTTGTCTATACTTTAAGATATATTCTAAAGGATTCTGGATTTAACTGCGTGGAAGAGAAATATTCTCTTCTTTACTAGCCGGAAGAAACCGGAGAAAACCAGAGGAAACCGGAGGAATTTAATTCTATTTACAGCTCAAAGAGAGAGGAAACAGAGTAACGCGTGACTTAACATTGACGATTACAATTAAACTCGATAGAAGGCTGAGCCGACTTTCCCGCTTCTCTGTGTGTCTTTGCTCTCGGTTTCTGCCGCTCGATGCCTCACAAGTACGAGAGGAACACAGCAGAATCCGTCAGAGCAGTTAATCCGTACTCGATGAATCGGTGCGCCCAATATTTTTCCGATACCTAAACCATCGAGAATAGACGGATTTTTTCGTGACTTTTATACGGTTTTTGACTTAGAACGTTAATATGCGTATTAGAGTGCTATTTATAGGAAAACTATAAAAGCAATATATAAAGCGGAAAAATTTGTTCCCTCCTCTATAAACGATTTAACTACACGGAAAAAAAGATTTGCTAATATATGGACAACTAAAAATATTAACTGCAGGAGCAAATTTTCTTGCTTTTATAGTAAAAATTATTTAGTTGTGATAGCTAAAAAATTTGCTAATTATATATATATATATATATATATATATATATATATATATATATATATATATATATTATAATACATTTAATTACATGTGCAAGACTCTGATGGTTGACTTTGTCTTATCAGTATTTTCCTTCAGCTAACATAGTTAAGAAGGGGACTTGGTTTATAATTATATTCTTTAACTACATACATGCATCCATTCCTTATTTCTACTCATCTAGTTACTAATGTTCCTATGATTACAGTGCCCCTCTTTAATTAACTTTACAATATCATCCTCGTTATCTAAATGCCGTTGTAATTTCCTTTTACAATTTTCTTAATTTCCACTAACCTACACTAACCTTTACACTACCTACACCTTCTCTCTATCTATCATGTCTAATTACACTTTTTTATTTCACGCTGAGCAGGTTTACACTAACCTTTACACTACCTACACCTTCTCTCTATCTATCATGTCTAATTACACTTTTTTATTTCACGCTGAGCAGGTTTACACTAACCTTTACACTACCTACACCTTCTCTCTATCTATCATGTCTAATTACACTTTTTTATTTCACAGCAGGTACTATATCGTCTTCATACACAATATTCCAAATTCTGTCCTTCTCTTCAGCTATCCCTTTATCTTTCCTCTTCCTCTACCTGATCTCTTTATTGTTCTTTTTATTTTTTCTTCATATTTTTTTCCTCCAATTTTCTTTCGTATCTTATTAGTCTTATTACTCTACTCTATACTTTCTACTAACTCCATAAAATTTTCCTTTACTCCCTATGTCTCCTTCAGCTTACATCATCGAGGAGTTTTCCATATTCTATAATTTTCCTTTTATTCTTTGCACTTCAATCTTCTTACTTGCACAGCACCTGTTCCATCAGTCCCTGTATCATCCTTCTTCGGTATACATTTATTTTGCTTCCTTATCCGATCCGATAACCAAACATTTCCTCTTTATTTCTTATATCCTTTTTTTATATCCTCTTATATCCTCTTCTTCCTTCATCTTTTGTGTACTTCTATTTTCTATTATACATTATCTATCATTTATTATACATTTCTTTTATCGATTGTTTCTTCTATATTATACTTGTTTCTTCTATATTAAGCTTGCTGTATTATCTATGTTACTCTAACTACTCGTTTCTTATGACGCCATAAATTTATTACTCACTTTTCCGCCCTGAATTTTGCTTTCTTATATAATACCTTGTTTTCTCCTTCACTTAAATTCTATCTACGCACTTATTTCTACATAATTTCTCCTATCTGATCTTCCATAATCAATTTAATCAAAATCATTCCAAACTTACACATCACCAAGTTAACCAAGTTATCAAATTGTAAAAAAATATTCAAAGATTGTGTATACACAATAATAAATATTACTTGTATTTCAAATATTTTGTGATTTTATATATCCGCAAATTTATCATAAGTTCATAATAAGCGCATTAAAGGAGGATATCGGAAAACGATTTTTTTTACTACGAGTAGAACCTAAAATTCTAAATTCCTAGGTTTTTAGGAAAAAATTCCTAAAGTTCTGTATGGTCAGCACATTTTAAATAGTAAAAAAATGGTATTACATCCTGGAAGTTCGGGGAACATCAATTGGAGTCAAACAAGCAAATTAGACGCTTAGGCAAGGTAGGTTTACGTATAGTAGGATGTTCTCATATTGCGACTGTTATATGGTATTTCAGTTATGCCAGACATCAAGAAACAATATCTTTGTCTGCTAATTACTTAAATAATTATTTTACCGAAGATACTAATATGATATTGAATGATCCAGACTTACACTCTGGTAATAAGAACGATGGATAACTGGTATTTATTTAATGCCTGGAACATAATTTGACGCGTCTCTTATTCTGTCAAATGATACTTTTTTTTGTATCTTTTTCAGTGTTGCTTTTATTCACACATGAGTTTTTAATAAAAAATAGATAAAAATAAAAAACTAAAGAAATAAAAAATAAAAAAAAATTAAAAAGGGTAAAAGAAATGGAGATGATAATCGCCACGTCCTCATTCGTGTCTCTGGGTCTGGCTAAGTGCGGTTCAGAGTTTAGGTCCAAAGATGAGATTTACGAGCTCATAAACTCTAAGTCTGTGAAATCAGAGTTAATAGGCAGATTTCAAAGTTAATGCTTCTGGATTACATGTGATGTGTTACTAAATTTTTTATTCATGATTTTCAGGTCTATAAGTTTAGATTTTATGGATTTGCGGCTTATAAATTATGGTATAAGAACTTAGGGTGTATGGGCAGTTTAGAGTTTATGAGTTTAGAGTTTATGGATTTAAGGTTTATAGGTAGAGAGATTATGGGTTTAAGATGCCTAAGTATCTAATTTGCGTGACTCCAATTGATGTTCCTCGAGCTTCCAGGACCATTTTGTGGTACCATTGACGTGTGACCATTTTTTTGGTACTATTTAAGATGTACTCGGTCATACAGAACCCAAATTTTAGGTTCCACTCATAGTAAAAAAATTGCGGTTTTCCGACATCCTCCTTTATTCAAAATATATTAGAGAGAGGGGGAGGAGATCGTAGTTTAACATTTCAATCAAGAGTATTATATAGTGTCGAGCCAACTTTTTCTTCGATGAAGTTTTATAATATTCTGTTAAAAAGAATAAATTCTTTAAAGCACATGATAATAAGCATGTGGTGAATATATTTCAAGAAAATAGCCTTGATTGAAAATAATTATTATTTAAGAGAAACAGAGCAAACTAAATAATCGCTTTTCTTAGCAGTAGAATGATATTTTTTGTGTGTAAGACCGGAAGAGAGACAGTTATTCTCACAGAGCAAAATTTCCCTTGTGTGTACGTCTTGTTCCAGTCCAACATTTTTTATATTTCAGGCTATTTTTTTTATTTACTTACCTGCCATTTTTATTTACTTACCTTTTACATGTTATTCTATTTTAATCTTGCGGTTATTTTCCGATCTGCTCGACGGCAACTGAGCTGAACACGGCTATCCTACAGTGTAAAAAAGGTGAGAAATAAGAAATAATAAAAACTTCATTTTTTACTTGAAAGTAAACAGGTTTGACATTAGCGGTACGATGATGAATTCACAAAAGTTCCACAAAGTAAGCAAGACAAGATAGTACCGAGGTTCCTGTCGCATGAAGTTTAATCAAACGGACATGACGGTGCTCTGGGGAAAGAATATCTCCCTCTGAAATGAGCATCCAAGAATCGGGAACCTGAGTTAGGTTGGGTTAATTAGGTCGGACTGAGTGCGTAATTTTGCCACCGCGTCATATAACCCTTATTATATCGCTTATACAAGCCATTTGGATCGTCCTTTTTTTCTCTTATATTTTCCTAGTCTTCATTACGTCGCACGACAAACAACGCGTAAATACATTAATATCGCGCAGATTGCCCGGCGGTCGTATGCGTATCGCGCACGATCTACGTAGACTTTTACTTTTTACTTCCCATTAAGGGGTCAGTTGGGGGATAATTTCTAACCTAATAGCGAATAATCGTGCGAATACATTCTCTCCCCGTCCAGTCTGAATCTAACGAATCTATCGAAGATTTTTCGTTTTTGTTGCATTAATTAATTGTTCTAGCTGTTGTTCTTACTCTCTAAAGTATAATCAGTGTATTATTCATTGAAATATGCGTTTAACTCAACTCAGATATAAATATAGTTATAAATATTTCAGAGGAAAATGTAGTGATTGTACTTTAAAGAGTGGAATGCATTGGATTTACTCTTCAATTTCGAGTGAAAATATTCACTCGGCGATTTAGAGTGGAGAATTCACTCTATATAAGTAAAGAATCATTCAGATTTGCTCTATTTTTCCAGTGAAATTTCAGTTCAAGAAATTTAGAGAGTAACTTGTGAAGGTATCGGAAACGTTACAAGAAATTCGTTACTTCCCAACCTTGACTTCTACACATATGCTATAAGTCATATTCGCCGAAGTGAATGACGGTCGAAGGACTAATCAAGTGCCTTTATTAAGTGTTTGAGTGGCATGCGAGTTTCGCAGAGGAGAGCTGTCACTTTAGTTTAATGGTAAGATGAAGACATTAACGTTGCAAGAGCGCATCGTTGAAACTGAAACTTTCGAAGTTCAACGTTCATCGATGCAACTTCTACAATGTGTTTGTCAATGTGTTGTCAATAATGACACCCTTGGAAAGTTGTACGACGCGTCAAGGTACACGCTGGCACACAGCATAATAGTATTGTGACTTCGGGGAGTTTTTTCGATCGAGAGAGATTTAACGAGCGGATTTTTCGTCCATCTGACATGCCGGGTTTTAAAAGGTTTCATTGATATGTTCACTTTATAATCCTTATCTTTCATTTGATAGAATCGCGCACGCCTATCCGGATCAACGTATAATTACTGAAAAACGTATAGCTGGTATGTAATTTGTATGATCGTTTACGTATTCACCGCTTTAGCATATTATTCATCTCACGTGTCGTTTTTAAATGTCATACGACATGATTAATTGCCTTCGGAAATATACAAAGATTAATTGAGCTAACAATACGTAAAAGAAATCGTATTGTTTTCGAGATATTTAATTTTAAATATGTATTGTGTAAACATATTTATAGAACTTCTAACATAATATACAAAAAATTTCTTTTAACTTGACATATTTATATATAAAGCAGAAGTTTATAAAACTGTCGGAATAGGGAAATAAACATTCTTAAGCATGTTTTAATGACATAAATTTACTGTAAATGTAACATAAATTTACCGTCAGGTTAAAAAGAAATTTAAATATTTCGATGAAAAATTTTTAGATTTCTTTCTTTTTTGCTTTTTCGTAAAACTGACAATAAATAAATAGAAACGTGGTATATATAAGTTGTCTGAAAATTCAAGACAGCCATAATATACAAACAGAACTCATAAAATTGAAGTAAAAAGTCCTTTACTATTTTACAAATAATACTCTAGATTTTTAAGTTAAGGAAGACCGTAGGTTTAGAAGTAATAATTTATATCCAATCAAATTAATATCTCTAGTTGTCTCAATCACACCGAGACAACTAGTAGGAGGAAACTAATATGTTGTCATGAAGCGAGAATTTTTATTTTTGAAGAATTATTCTATTTCTGTCTTTTTATGAAACAGAAGCATCTTTATAATCTACTCCTGGTAGCTCTGTAAACTTCTTAACGACAATGTTACTAACATGATATGTCGTTTTTCTACCATGTATTATATCTGCGCAACGAGAACGTAACGACAACGACATTGTCGTTAAAAAAAGCTACACAATAGGCCTTCCCTATTAATTAAAGAAGTTTGCTGAATGATTGTACGTGTTTTTCAATCTCCTTTAATTAATAATTCAAAAATCTATGTGGTAAAATGATAAAGAACTTTATGGTTATAAATGGTGTATAAATATGGTTATTGACGAATTAATAAAAAAATTTTTTTGTTTATTTATAATGTACTCGTTTACAACAGATGTCGTATCTCTGTACCGCTCTGTACATTATCAAGCGCGATTATTTATTAATTTTTTAAATTAATAACTCAAAATTTTGCATTGTTGTTTGCAAAATAATATAGAACTTTTTCGTTCAGTTTAATGGATTCTATTACGACTTTGTGACGATGTTTGGAACTTTCAAATACATTACTAATATATACATTATTAATGTCGCTACGAACCATATCAGATTTTAAATGTGTGCAAGACAAATATATATATATATACTATTTATCTTTGAAGATTACTGATTATCTTGAATACTGCTTAACACATAACTCACATGTAAGAATACATACTATTCGCACGCATTTACAATTCAGAATAGACGTTTACTAAATTTACCGCTGCTATACATGATAAGTTAGCGCCAGATAACCTCATAATGTCACTTCTATATTTATTACTTTCAACATAAACACTTATGCATTTTCAATTCAAATTAAATGAAACTGATCATTTATCAAATACAATATCGAGTGCATGCTATGTTCACTCTAATACAGTTCATTGGCGTTACATTGTCCCAATATTGATTATATTGAACATACGTTGGGCAAATATAGCCAATATATAGTCAGTATTGGTTATAAATAAAATGTGAATAAATTGTTAATATTGCGCAATATGATTGTATTAATTTTTGCATACATTGGGGTTACATTGAGCCAATATAATCCTATATATAGTCAACATTGGTAATAAATGAATTGCTAATATTTGAAACTCTATATTGGCTATAAAATGCAAGACGTCTACTTTGTAATATTGAGCCAATATTGAATGTATTAGAGCCCAATTGTAGCTAATATTGCCCCAATGAACTGTGCTACTAAAATATGTTTCTTTCTTTGCAATTGATACCGTCATTAAATGAGTGTCATACAACTTCTATTTTGTTTTACATTTTTTTATTTTTCCGTTACTTTTACTTATTTAATAACTCTTAGAATAAAAAACAATTAGATTTACAAAAACAGTTACCTATTATGACATTTACGAATTTTATCTCACTAATATTATTGCAAAATTATTATTTTACTCATTTTAAATGATTGCATTATTAAAGTACTGATTAACATAGAAATTAGCGCGAGAATCTCCTCTTTATGTAATGGACTTTAAATTGTTCCATTTGGCTCGACAAAAATGGAGAATTAAACCAGATGGAGAATTAATTGTGCGTATCGATTGAAAATTAAATCCGACGTGCTTGTAATGTAAATAAAAAAGAAAATGCATTTCTTTCTCTTACATCTCAACATCATTTCGATCTCTTACATCTCCGCTATGTCATTTCCAGGAAACCGTTGTCAATTCCCTACGGCGCTATATCCTTCGTAAATTTAATATCGCCTTATCATGTTCTAGAACTTTGAACGAGAGCATCTTGGAAGAATGGGGTGTGAAACCGATGCCGGACTACGCAGATCCGTATCACAAGAGGTGAGAGTAACAGAAAGAATTTAATTTCATTCATTGAATTTAAATTTTAAAAGAGAGAGGGGGAGAGAGAGAATTTAGAACTGAAGCAGATCGAGCTCATTAATTGATTATAGTGCGAAAGATATTATGTATCTATATAATATGGAGCTCATACATAAATTATTACTTCGATTCGCGTTATTTTTAGCTTCCACCAAGTGACTCGTGTAATCTTTTAATTTCTTTATGCGCAGACCGATGACGATGGGCGAGATTGGTTGCTTCCTCAGTCACTACATCATATGGCAGAAGGTAATGAGAAATTCTTTCGCGGAAGTGTTTGCCGATCATTCATAAAATATTAAATATTAGGTACTAGAATATGGCTACAAAAATGTCATGGTGCTGGAGGACGACGTCCGCTTCGAGCCGTTCTTCCGACAGAAAGTTCATTACGTTTTAACTGAGTTGTCCGACATCGATACTGAGTGGGACTTGGTGTAAGTTTATATTTTTTATATATTCGTTATTAGTTGTTGTTAATTTTAATATAACACTTATGCATTTCCAATTTAAATTAAATGAAACTGATCATTTATTAAATACTATATCGAATACATATCATGTTCATATTTCTTCTTTTGCAATTGATATTGACACCAAATAAATGTCTTGCAACTTTTATTTCGTCACTTTTAAAATATTTAACAATTTTTAACTTAAAATATTTAACACTTTTTAAATATCTAAAATAAAAATGATTGCATATTATAACATTTACAAATTTTATCTCACAAATATTGTTAAAAATTATTCTTTCGTCATTTTAAACGGTTTTATTAATAAAATATTGATTAACTAGCGAATTAATATAAAACACATGTTGTATATAACATATTGTACATAATGTTACATTGTTGAGTGAGAAACTAGAACAATAATGTGATATTGATGTGGACTTTTACTACAAAAATGGTAATCTCCTAACTATAATTCTTTCAAAATGCAATTATGTAAAAAATAAACTAAATCTATGATGCAGTTACAAATATCAAGCACTTTTTTTCTTAATATATATTATCTTGACCTACAGGATTCTGAAATTTATTTTTCGATCACTTTTGCAAGAAAAATTTCATTTTGCTTGATTCAAGCTAGTCATGTGATTGAACGATCGATATAGATAAGCGAAACCTAAAGCTGATGCGCGATTAAATCGTTGCGTTCTAGGTATTTGGGTAGAAAACGACTGATGGAATCAGCGGAGAGTCGAATACAAGGCTCTAAGTTCCTCGTACGGGCGGCATACAGTTATTGGACACTCGGCTACATTTTGTCGGACAGCGGGGCGAAAAAACTGGTTGACGCTATGCCTCTCGGGAAATTAGTCCCTGTCGACGAGTATCTCCCTATACTTTCCAATGCGCACCCCAAGTATGTGAATTGAATAAAATTTCGCAGCACATCGTAAGTCACGACAGGCAATTCTGAATTTCTGGTGAACTCGACATAAACAAATCGCGCGCTGATGAGTCGCAATTTAGGATCGCGGAATTCGTGATTGGCTTCGTAATTGCTGCACTGTCGCGTTCGCAACTGCACATAGAAAAATATCAGGGTTGGGTAGTAACTAATTTGTCAAAAGTTAAAATAAAAAAGTAACTAACTATAAAATAAATAAATAACTTATAATTTGACTTGGTTCATTTTAGATAAACCAACTTTTAACATAAACTAGTTTTAACTTTAACTTATCAACATTTTTTATTACTTTACACAAATGAATAATTTATCAAAATATTAAAATCATTGTGAATTACTTATTGCTTTGCTATGTCAAGTAAGAAAAATTAAAATATTTAAGCCAATAAAATTTCCTTTATTTCTTTAAGTGCCAGTGTTTTTTCTTGTGTGAAATCACGAGCTCAAAACAGTCGGTATTTCTTTATTAAAGTTTTTTCATTATTTCACATAAACCTAAGATTAAAAAGTTAATTATACAGAAAACGTATATTGTTTTGCACGTTTAACTTTAATAAATAAATCTAACCTAACTTTTAATTAAGTTACTTTTTGTTATGTAACTTTTAATTTAACTAAGTTAATTTTATGAGCTTTTAACTTTAAACTTAATTTAGTTAAGAAATATATTAACTTACCCAACCCTAAAAATATGTGCTGCATTCAAATAAATGTTACTTGTTTCAAATATTTTATAAATCTACATACCTGCCAATTTATCATAAGTCTCTATCATAAGCATCAAGTTTATCCAAAATACATTTTAAATCCCGGAAAGTTTTGCATTTCACTCAAGAATATTGATTTAAAAGAAAAATTCGATTTATTTTTTACATGGAGCCAAACCTACTTTTCTTTCGCTAAAGTTTTATAATATTTTTATAAAAAGAATCAATTTTTCTTTTGCGTACATGATATTTTCTAAAATTTTCAAGACTATTATCAAGAAAATATTCTTTGCTGCAGATAACTAAATTTTAAAAAAAGAAAAATAAATTGAGAAAAATAAATCGTTTCTTTTACCGCTGAAGAGTGATATTTCTCTGTGCATGATTTCGATGAGTCTTAACGAGCGTATGATATATTTATATGACACGATTGTAATTTTATTAGGGAGCAGTGGGCAGCACAATTCCCTATTCGAGACTTGATTATATTATCGACGAACCCACTTCTGGTTCATCCGACGCATTACACCGGCGAAGACGGATATATCAGCGACACGGAGGACTCTAAACTCATACAGGATAACGTAGAGTCGCAAATTGTCAAGTCGCAAACTCGGGAGGAACTATAATCGACCGGAGGCTACGAGATAAAAGGTATTAGGAATTATCTAGTCGACGAAGTCGATCTGCAATCAATTTGTGAATTTAACAGCAGATCTAATAGTATATCAAGATAAAGCATGCTCACTGATGTACACTGCCAACAGTTCGAAGTCAATAACGATCAAACGTAAATATCTCTAACAGTACAAATATCCAAAAGACGTGCAGAGTATGTGCTGAGGACGTAGAAACATCCTCAGGACATTCTTGGGACGTCCCCAGGACACCTTGTGCTGTTTGGGATAAGTCATACCTTTTCGCAGCAAAGATAGTGGCCATATTTTCGAGCAAATTTAGATTTTATCTCGACATTTAGCTTTCCGTAAGATGTTTTTATCTAATATTAATACGCGAGATTGATTCGCTCGAAAACCCTCGTATGCGATACACACATACACAAACGCGTTTTTATATTTTTATATATCGTATTAACATTATGAATATATATAATTGCCTAATGTTATGTAAATGTGCCAATGTTATCAATATATCTATTCTAATATTATTATTATTATTATAATTATAATTATGCAAGATACTCTTCAAGCAATTATCTATTCTTTCTTGACAAGAAGTTTATGTAGCGGTACTTTGTTTATGAGAATCTGAAGACTCAGTGGAATAAAACGAGGATCGGATAAAATAATCTTGTATATAAACCAGTTGGTAAAAAGAATATCAGAGATGAATTTAATGTTTAATTATTATGCGCAATGAGAAATATTTTTGATTTTTCAGATATCTTTTCTCAGTGTATAAGTTATTTCATTCATATATTTTGCAAACAAAATGGCGAATAATTCTGAAATTTGTTATGTTTCTATATATTAGCCTTTAATATCGTAGAGGTTTTTCATGAAAATCTCTTTTGTAGTTCAAAATATTAAAAACAGAAATTAAAAATAGCATGTTAACCTCAAAGAACACGTGTAGAAGTGTCGAGTTCACTTGAAAATACCTCAACTCTCGAATGAACAATCATTTTTTAATTTCACCAGCAATTAGGGTAACGTTTCACTATGTATGCAGGACAGATTTCATCAAGTTTTCATGTGAAATCCGTTTCATAGTACAATTACTTTAAACAAGATACGTGTTACGAATTAAGTAAATGAAATTTGATTATATCTAAAAGAGAAAAGCAAGAATTTGTTACCTCTTTCAATTTTCCGCATCGGATTATCTCGCTTGTATTAATTAATCGATTAATCGACGATCCGCTGTTAGAACAAGGGCTGTCACGATAAATTTCTCACATACCGCTGCTTCTGTTTGATGTAGTGTGCTATGTGAAGTAGGCGCGTCGACGATTCTCGCGTGGTCGTTAAAAGAGTTTTAAAGTCATTTCACACAATTGCATAAGCGTGATCGTAAGCGTGGTTGTAAGTAATTACAACAACCAATGCAGAATAAAGTAATCAGTGAATAAAACAGTAAATAAAATATTCTAATTGGCTCTTATATTCACGACCACATTTACGCGATATGGAATGATCTTTATTGTACGTTATCTGTGTTACACTAGAAAGATTTAGTGCCAATAAACCTGCCGTTATTCGATGAAAAAGCATTCAGGAGTTTCGAAAGGAGAAATGACGTATTGCAGCGATACAAGTGTGTCGCGCAAGCAGATAGGTTTATCGACATATGCTGTGCATCGTCGTAACGGTCACATAACCGCGTCCCTACCAATTCCGTCTCATTTACTTCGTCGCGCGCCGCGCGCACACATCTCTGCGGGAGGAACGTCGAGGAAGAGCGTGTCAAAGATCGGAGATAAACTTATACAGCTCTTTCACATCATCGTATGATAATACGATTCACGACAAGCCACGACCGACCATCATGAACATCAACTTCGAAGGAAAGCGTATTCTCGTGACCGGCGCTGGTCAAGGTATATCTAATCAGATGTCATGTATGTCTAGCATTGTAAGTAGAATTATACGATTTTTGATTTTATGCATATTTGCGTAAGATTGCGAAAAGTATTAAGTTGGTGCAAAACGAATTTTAACGTTTGTCAAATTCAAATAAAATTAATGAAATTATTCGAGTCATTTTTAACTGTTTGATCACATACCGATAATTTGTATTATGCGAATTATTGATCATTTTTACGTATAAAATAAATAATATCGACTCGGTATTTTTTCAAACATCTAACAAGGATTTCCTATCAAGAAGTTAAAGGCTTTTCAAATGTACAATAAAACAATACAAGAAAAATAAGAATCAACCGTTATTACATTTATTTACAATTCAAACGTTATTACTTCGTTATATCTTAATGTCCTTCACTGGAGAGAGTCCAAATCTTAGGACCGAAACGTTTGAATTGTAAATAAATGAAATAACGGTTTCATTAAATATATAACTTCACTTGTGCGATCGACGATTGATTCTTATTAGCCTTTTTCTTGTATTGTTTATTTCCTATGATCCTCTTAAAAGTAGTTGTACTGCTAGGTATTTTCTGTGATTTATTTATAAATTTATCATTTATCAAATACACAAAATTATGTTTTACGTTTTCTTTACGTTTTTTTATTACGTTTTTTAAGTGATATAGATGATCACACAATATGAGCAATTTTTATATAGAAACCCATGTCTGGAAATGTTTCATTTGGAAATTACAAGCGTTGATGTGTGTAAAGTCAAATCTTTTGCTGATCTTGACAACATTGATAAACCACAGTTAAAGCCTTTAATGACGTTAGAAGCGAGAAAATACATGCTAAAATTTCTTGCGAAATACGTTGGAATAAAAATATATATCTATAAAGTAACATTTGTACACACATAATCAATTAAATAAATTTGTAAAATATTCCGTGCACTCTTCTTTTGCTCTAACAATCAATGATTTATTGTAAATTAATCTGAATAGAAATAAGTGAAAAAATAGATTAAGAAGATAAATTGTATGTCACGTTAATTTACAATAAATTGTTGATTGTTAGAGTAAGAGAGAAGTGCACGAAATATCTTACAAATTTGTTTAATCGATTGCAAGTGTTAATTTATATATATATTTTTATTTTAATATATTTTGCAAGAATTTTTGGTATGCATTTTCTCGCTTCTGACGTCGTTAAAAAGAAATAGACAATGCGAGAGGCCAGGAGCTTTAAAGCCATCGTACATGAAATGCATACGCATAGTACAGATGCATGTATGTATAATATATGTATAATATAAGACTATCTCGACCAATGAGTATGCTCTGCAAATCAATATGACTACGTTAAATGCTGATTGGTTCAGACGGTTATTGATATGTATGTGTATTTATGCTATGTACGTTTTTGTGTACAATGACTTTTACTTTCGGAAACGATCAAGGGACATTATGTTATTTACTTTCATATAAACCTTGATGTTACGTGGCAATATTTGTAAACATTATTAATCATGCGATAACAGAACTTTCCCAAGTAGAACAAATTTCTTAAAGACGTCTTAAAATGTGTAAAAAATAAACATAGGACGTTTTTAAGTTATTTTTAGAAATTTATTCTACTTGAATTAGGTTTCTGTTCTTTTTAGCTAAATTGCCTGAACTAGTGCAGATTGGTACAGTAAGTTAGAGTGAAACAAAATGTCTCACTCTAACTTATTGCAGTGTGCATCAGTTCAGACAATTCAGTTGAAAAGAACAGATCTCTTGTTTACAGCCAGCTGATGTCGGATTCAAGGCTAATGCATTTTGAACATTTACTGTAATGTGTACTGATAGCAATTATTAAATTGTAATGAGCTAATTTAATTAGAAGTTCATAATGCAATAATCTAAAATGCAAAGTTATTATTCTGTAATGACTTAGACTAGTTATTACACATATCAAGGTTTGTAATTCCCAAACGAAACATTTCTGGACATGGGTTTCTATATGAAAATTGTTTATATTGATCATCTCTCAACTATCCCTCGAAGTTTGTAACAAAGTTATAGTTACACGTATATCGTTCACAATGAAACACAATACTGTTATACAAATACATTCGAAGTAAACACTTATGTTTCTAGTAGCACATGACGTGTTGACGTTCAAAAAACTGAATGAACTTTTTTCTGTTTTTCATTTCATTATTTTTTTCC